TTAGAAAAACTTAAAATTTATTTATTTTTTTTTTCATTAATTCCCATTTCACATAAATTTTTTTTCTTAACTTAATTATGAACGCAAAGCAAAAATCAAATCCTGAACTTAATAAGGATGACTTTTTTCATTTGACTTCATATATTTGGATAGTCAAAGATTTTCAAGATGTTTACTCACACATGGAAACGTCTCAATTCATTTTAAGCGAAAGGTTTTATTCACCATCAACACCATTAACTAAAGAAGGTCAAGAGAAAAAGGATGATAATATTTGGAGATTTTTATTGTGCCCGCGAGGAAAAGTTGGAGTTCCCAAAGAACACATGTCACTATTTTTATTTCCACTTCCAAATGAATACGATAAGCAACGACGAATATTTTATCGACAAGCGATATATCGAATCGAAATATTTGTGAACAACAACGAAACATGTACGAATATTTCATCCGTGGACCCTAAATATAAGGATAAGATATATAATCATATCACCAGAATAAATAATAAATATAACAGATGTGGAGAGTATGATTTTTGCGAGATCAAGAATATTTTTCCCGATGATTGTAATAAAATGGAGAAAACTGATCTGATTTTCAAGATTCATTTCTATTATGATAGGGAAAATACAATAGAAATATGTTCACCCGAAAATAACCCTAATGAATCGATAATACCCTCATCCTCATTTGAAAATTATTTTAATGATGATAGTTTTAGTGATATTACATTTAAATTTAATTGTGGATCCGAAATCAGGGCGAGTCGACTTGTCCTTGCAATGAAATCATCATATTTTAAGGCTTTGTTTCAAGGAAATTGGAAAGAATCAAAATCACCGGTCATTTCAATTAAAGATGTAAATTTTGAGTGTTTCAAAAGGATGATTTATTTTTTATATAGTGGAAAACTTGATAATGAGTTATCATTTGAAGAGTTAAAGGATTTATATATTGAAGCAGATGTTAGAGATATCTCGGATTTAAAAAGGGAGGGATCCAAAAGGATTGTTAGGCTCGTTGATGAAACTTCTTGGGATGAAATATTATTGATGGGTTGGCAAACGAAAAATTTGGAAATGAAGGAAGCTGGGTTGAAATATTTTAGTGAAAATTGGATGAACATCAAAAATTCAGACAAGATGAATAATATCATTTCTAATGCAAATTTTGATTGGCTTGATGAATTGTTTAGGGCAAAACTATTTGGTGTGTAATAAAGATGTTAAAGAATTTTTAGTCCAAATTCGGACATACTGATCTACGATCTACGTGTCCGTAAATAAACCCTATAACCTGGCGTCAGGCTTACGTGATGATATTCTTTGCTTTCAGATGACTTTTTATTTAATAAATCGAATAAAAACGTTTAGAACTTTCCATAGAGGTAGTTAATCATTTATAGATTTTGTAATAACAAATCCCGTTCATAGTATCCTCATCTTTTAGACTTTCCTTTCTTTTTCATCATCATCTTTATTTTCAGTATGAGTTTCCGTCCATCTACAAGACAATAACATTTCCAAAATCTATCAACACTAGTTTCTTAAGCAATTTCATAATCATCGTCATCATCGTCATCATAATTCATCATCACCCGTCAACACAGTGACATGTTAATCCTTTGCGTTGCTCTTTAGAAGTTTCTTCCCTTTGTTCAAATATTCTTGAGTGACCAACATAATAAATATATGCTGAGTAAGAGAAATATAGATATTTTGCATAAAAACCAGTCACGATAGTAAGTAAATAAATTGGAGTAGAAACTTCACAAAAATAAGGCTTCAATAGATTTTTATAAAAATTACAATCCTACCGCACCACACAGTTGTAGTTAAGAATTAATACCTTATTTGTTTATTGAAAATTTGTTCGATAATTCAACTAAAATTTGTCCAGTTGCCAGAATCCCGATTTGTTGGCGTTTGTCAAATTATCTAGAGAACTTTGATCATCAGTCAGGCTATGGTATTTGAAAAATCTGAAGCCTTCTCTGCTTGCTTTTTTAGAGTCGACTTAAGCCGTTGACTCCGTTGGTATCACTATCACACTCAATATTGTTCAAAATTTCGACTTTTCATATTAAATTTTTTTTATTTTTTTTTTTTAATATTAAATAATGATATATTTTGTTAAATCTATTAGAATTCATCACATTGACCCAGTCAGAAAAGTTGAAGAAAGTGAGAGAAGATGCAGAATAATTGCTAAAATTGAAATCGTAAAATTTCAAAAAATCTATTTCATATACTTGAATATTCTATAAATAAAAATAATTCCAATAATAAATAAAAAATATTTTGACTTTGGACTTGCATTAATAATATACCACATTAAACTTGATATAAATGAAAAGAAAATGACAAGATCAAAATTATAATAAAGAAATGTTTTAATTCCACACTAAATATTAAGTTATACCTTAGTTAATTAATTCATTTGTAAAATAAAAAGAAAAAAAGAAAATTTTCGAACTTTTAATACCTTTTTATCTGCCAAAAAATAAATTTTATCAATTTTCTTTCCTTTATCAGAAATGATTAATTCCTTCAATAAATCTTCAATGCCTTTAGTAGCATTATCATCGGAACGTATCGAATAACAAATTTCTTTATCATCCTTTCCAACGTAATAAAACATTTCATAAGGATAATTAAAAACATTTAAGTAACGTATTGTATCTTCAATAAACCTTGTTAGCTTTCCATCATTGTTTGTTAAAATTTGTGATTTTAACATTTGGAATGTTTTCTTATTTGAAAATATTAATTCAACTTCGTCTATTGATGATGAAGCATTAGATATATTTGAGTTTGGTTGTTTTCTTCGTGACATTATAAAAAGAGAGTATATATATATTTTTTTTCCTTTTTTTATTCAAGGGATGGCATATAGTGTATGATCACGTCTAAATTTACTAAATTTGTATTCTGTACTACGAATAGATTAGATTAATAATTGAACCTTGTAGTAATCCAAATTGGATTATCCCTTGTAATCAAAATATTGGGTAAAATTTTTATGACAATGGAAAGTGTAGTATCCAAAGACCTCAATTAGGGATCCTTATTTTACAAGAAGTCGTCAATTTCTTGGCATCAAGATTTTAAGGTAATTCATTCCAAAAACAAGTTATTCTGGGAAATCTTTGCCGCTTTTCATGAGAAACTCGAAACCTGTTAAGATTTGATCAATTGTAAAATTTTATGGTGCACAAAAATTAGTGAGAGAGATGTTGGGATCCAATCTGAAACGAATTAGATTCATTATCCTAAATCTTATTATTGAATTCATTCATATATTTTGCAAGCGTATAAGTCAACGATTGAAATTAATATTTTATTATTCGCTCATTAAAAATAAATTAAATGAAAAGGTGACTGAAATTTATACTTGAACACTTATATATCTGATATCCAAATTTAAAGATAACTTCTCCGGGTCCAGTTAAGGCCAATTCATAAAACTTTTATTAAAATTTTTTTTTTTTTGCTAATAAACAAGGTGGTTTTTCATACATTGCGAACTGGACTAACTAGGTTATATTTGGGGTTGATCGACTTGAAATGTCAATTAAAGTTATCATTGATAATGCACTACCATCATTTATTTGGCTGCGTAAATTCAAACCATTGAAATTATTAAGAATTTAATCATTTTATTGTTCGCTCGTTAAATTAATAAACACCAAACTAATTAATTAATAGTTTGGAATTTATACTTGACACTTGTACCTCATATACAATTGAATTTATAAAGTTAACTACTGATTTAAATTCTGGATGATTTTTAATTTATACTTTGCTTGGCATCAGATATCTTTTCAAAAAAAAAAAAAAAAAGGATTTTCATCATGACGTCCGCGTTTGCGAAAGAAATTGAGATTTCATTTAAAGTTAAAGAGCTATGCTATTTTGATTATTGACATTAAACTAGGAAACGGGAACCGTTGTTGAGTCCCGAGCGATCAAAAACCGGAGATTTCATTGGTTTAATATCACGTGGATGGACAAAGAAACGAACTACCCAGAAAAATTCTTCGATCATGTGATATTTGGCCCGCATTATGCTAATCCATAAACTCTGGCCTAACCCTAAATCTAAGGATGTGATGTTTATTGCGTGACAATCAATGGAAAACGCGAAAGGTGTGACACAGGTGATAAATAATTTTGGATCACATGATCGAAGAATTTTTCTGGGTAGTTAAAGAAACGCAATTATCACGTGACCGAAAAATTTTTCATAGCGCATAGACGTATATTGTCCTTCGCTTCGCTCCGGACAAATTAACAAATGAGATGGTGCATTTTCATGAAAATATAATGGATTTGACCATAAATCTTGTTCTTGATTAATTTTGCCATCATTTATTTGATGTGTGCAATTCAATGATTGAAATTGGTAGTTAATATGCTCTTTATACAAATAAATCAGTGTTGGCCGGTCAAAGTGGCCAAATAAATATTAATATCAATACATTTATTAATACCTAGTTATTTGGCTGAAATTTGGCTGCTTGCCATTTTGGCCATTGGCAACGGCCAAAATGGCCAAAAAATCTCTTTGGCGTGCAAGGCTGCATTAAATCAACACAAAAACGCCGCCTATAGACCATATAATTAGAAACTTAATATAAAGGACCCAATTAAGTTCTGGTTATTTGTTATTTTCAAGATAATTTATTTCATAAAATGAGAAATAATAAAATCGCGTTTGCATATTCTATATTAAGAATTGATTGACTAATTCGTTTTAAAGTTATACCATGTTGGGAAAGTTAGTTATTCATTGTTATATATCCTTTTGTGCGCACAGTAAATAAATTAAACAAGTAAGATTGTGCATTTCTATTGATGATGTCTCATATCATGAGACTTCAAAGTGTGTAATAAATTTGAAACGAATTAGATTCATTTGCTATAATATAAATTCGTTTGATTCCCTTATTATTTGAATATTCCTTTCCTTTTTATTATCATTATTATTAAAAAACAAAAATGGACCCGATCGCAAACCTTGTTCTTGGATTAACTTTGTTGATAACATTTATTTGGCTGAGGAATAGTCAACGATTGAAATTGGTAGTTAATCTTTTATGATTCTCTCGTTTAAAAAGTTTTAAATGTAAGTTCACTAAACTTTTATGCTTAGACGGAACCGCCACTTGTACCTTATAAATATCCAATTATTGGACATACAATTGAATTTTATACAGAAAACGAAACTCTTATTAAAAAATGTCGTGAAGAGTATGGAGAAATATTTTCATTATACGTGTTTGGTAGAGTAATAACTATCGTAGGTAAAGAGCTTTGTCCTGAAATTTTCAAGAATCATGAAACGTTCGATTTTGGAGATGCGCACAGAGATGTATGTACCAATTAAGAAATTTTTCTAGGAAAAGCTGCCACGTCAATAGTTTTGAAGTTTTAACAACGGTGATAGATCTTTCCTATAGATGACTTTTTGTATCGGCCACGAAAGTTTTTTCGAAATGTATCTGCATCGACTCAGATAAAAGTTTCAAAGGAATTCAACTTATATACCGAACGAATTCAAAGACAATTAATTAAAACTATCGATGAATTAATCGGTGATGGAAAAGGTAAAGACAAATCGGCATTCCTTAAAAGGAAATTGAGGAGGGAACCAATCGAATTTCTAATATTTTTTTGCCACATTTTAAGTATTACAATCTCCCTTAAAATTCTTTCAATATACTATTGCAAGACCAATGGTCGCGGCAATGGTTGGTGAGGTATGTAAAAGATAAATAAATGTAAATATTTGTTCTTATGGATTAACGTTAACTGTTTATTTATTAATAGGAATTGTGCGATGATGAAGAATTGATAAATTCATTTGCCTGCGCTACAAGCGATCTCATGACATATTTGTCAATTCCACCTTTCCTAAATTTTATTCATCCGGTAATACATAAGAATTTCATCATGTAAGCACCATCTTTACATAAGATTATTGAAATTGTGGGTCTGGACCGTTGTAAAACATTTGTAGATGCGGTACTGGAGCGACAGCGCGTGATGCAAGAAAAACGCGGAAAGCCAGACTTTCTAACAAATTTGTGTTTAATATATTTATTTTTTTCGCATTAGAATAAAGTTTCGTTATTTAAGCAACCCTTTAATAAAGCACAGAGAAGTAATTAAACGAAAGGTTGCTCCTATAATTGAGAAAAGAATGAATTATATGAAAAAACTAGGAGATGCTTGTGCTCCTCAGGTAATATATATATGTCATGTTGTGATCAAATCGAATTTTCGCTTATATATCGCAATTTTTTTTGTGATTAGGTTGATATGTTACAACATTTCATTAACGCTTTTCGCAAGGGTTACACGGTTGATGTTGATGTTGTAACAGATTTTCTTATTGTTAATATATTTGCTTCTGTACATAATATGTCCACGTTTCTAACTTTCGGTGTACAAGGTATCAAACAACTTGTTTTTTTTTAAAAAAAAAAAAATCTTTGCAAAATTTATTATTAATCTTTTTAAATAAATAAATACAATTTTTTTTTTTCACCTAGAATTTGCAAATCATCTACAATTTCAAAAAGAGTTGTTGGATGAACAAGAGAAATTATATGATGGAAGTACTTATAATCTTGATCAAATCAATAAAATGAAAAAATTGGATAGTTTTATTAGAGAAACTTTAAGGATGAACATTCATATTGGTGGGTATTTAAGTTCAATAACGTGCGTAGTATTTTTAAAGGCTAAAATAATTATTTTCAATATTAGTTACATTAGAACATAAAACTCTTTCATCTCATTACACCTTTTCCAATGGATATCAAGTTCCCGAAGGTAATTTAATATACAATTTTTTTTTTAAAAAATTAAAAAAAATAAACTTAAAAGGTTTTTTATAGGTCGAATAGTTTATATTCACGCGCAAGGAATACATTATGATGAAGAATTACAAGGTCAAAATCCACATGAATTCAATCCTTTCAGGCATTTTGAGAGAAATTTACCTGCAGCAAGAATAGATAAGAGTCTCATTACATTTGGATTGGGTAAACATGCGTGCCCGGGGCGATGTTTTGCTATTAATGGGATAAAATTGGCTTTACATTTCTTATTATTAAAATATAACATTAGAACTATTAATGATGAAAAGGTTATGGCTAAAATTGTGGGACCTTACAAAGTTCCTAATAGTGATAAAAGATTAATATTTGAAAAGAAAAATTTGAAAAAAATGGCTTTGCCTTGAGAAATATTCCATTCTTCATCATTACTTCACTCATTGCGTAACGGCGACTAACCTGCGGTCGTGAGAATCCACAGCATAGATATTTCTTTATTTTTATTTTTTTATTTTTTATTAAAAATACATTTATACGCGTCTTTCAGGATGATTAATTTTAACATTTTGAATAAAAAATTTTTAAATAAATTGTAACAATTTTTTTTAGATCATTGTTACCTGTAATAGAACTAATAGCATTTTAAAAAATCTAAAAATGGAAAAAATGGTTCGGATTAGAGGCCTGCATGAGTCCAAATTTGAAGCTCATTATAATTAATTTATGCTGTTATTATTTTATTTTACAAATACAAGAATAGTTTATCAAATTTTTATAGAAAATAAAAACGATAAAAACATTATTGATGTGCACTAAATACCATCTCCAACCTTAACCATTCCTGCTTTTTTTTCTTGACATTTTAATACTCCTCTTTATTGATTAAATTTGACTTTTTATTTCCTTTTTGTTTTTTTAAAAAAAAAAAAGATCGGCAACTATGGACCGGGTTCTGGCTGGGTTCCTGCACCTTCTAGTTCGGGTACTGTATACTAAATGAATGACCAAAAAAAACTCATTTATTCCATTTATTCTAAATATTACCAGAAAGAAAGTATGATGTAATGAATTTATGTTCGTATTAAAAAGAAAAGATTTTTAAATATGTTACAACCACGTATTTTTATATTTATTGTTCTTTAAAAAAAATTTTTTCATATACAGTTTATTTATTAATTTGCACAGGCGTTGAAGAAAGAAAATTCGAAAATGGAAAATAATTAATTTTTTTTCGTAAACTGAAAGATTAGACTATTGTTGTGTTCTTTATATTAGTTTTAGCCTCCCAATTAATATTATTATGACGACGTTTTTTAATTTTCTTTCAACGTTTAAGAAAAATTGAAAATGAAAATACAATAGATTTTCTAATTACACATTGTTTCCTTTTCTTTCCAATACTAAACCTTCATCACTAGCAAACCTGAAAGGACCCTTGATTTTTGGATAAACTTTTTTATCATCAAGATGTTTAATATTATAATTTAAAATTAAATAATGTAAAGCGCTTTTAATTTCATTTGCAGCGAAATAACGACCAGGACATGCATGTTTACCGAAACTAAATGCAATAAAGTTTTTTTCTACGTGTGCTGCGAGTGATTTTCCTAGATGACGGAAGGGGTTAAATTCCTTTGGATTTTGACCTTGTAATTCTTCATCGCGATGAATTTCTTGTACTCGAATATAAACAAATCGATCTATATGAAAAAAAATAATTAATTTGGTCAGGTTTATAAGGGTAGGATTAAATAAACGATTTTTTTTTTTTTACTTTACATACCCTTTGGAACTTGATAACCATTCGAAAAGGTAAAATGAGAATTAAGCGTCATGTGTTCAAAGTAAACTATGCTTGTGGATAATCTTAACGTTTCTTTAAAAAAGCTGTCCAGATAAACCAATTTATCAATGTCTTCAGTAGTATAATAGGTCTTTCCATTTTTACTTTTTAATAATCGTTCTTGTTCTTCTAATAATTCTTTTTGGAATTGTGGATAATTTGCATATTCTAAAAAAAAAAAAAAAAAAAAAAAAAAGAGAGGAATAAAAAATTTAATATTTTAAAACAAACAATCAGTACACATACTTTTTTGTTATATAAGAAAACCTTCTCTCTTGTTGATCACTTACGATGTAAAGAGTTGAGGAGGAAAGTTGAAGTTGTATGCACCGCAGCAAATATAGCAACAATAACGTAATCAGTTAAAACGTCGATGTCGATTGTATAATCTTGACTTAAAAGTTCGATAAGTTTTTGTAATATGTCAACAGGAGGAACATAGGATTTGTTCGTTTTCATGCTGTGTAATCTTCTTTCGACAATAGGTGAAACCTTTCGTTTAATTACATCCCTATGCACTTTGAAGGGATTATAGAATTGAAAGTATAACCTGTTCAAGAAAAAGCATATAGGATTTAGACTCTTTAACTCGACATTCGCAATTAATTTGAAACCGTACTTACACTAAAAATTCCTTGTGTAATAACGGATGAATGAAGCTCAAAAAGGGTGGAAACGATAAGTATGGAACCAAATCACTGGTAGCATAAGCTACGGTATTTACCAATTCTTTATCATCAGAAAATTCTTCACCGACTAAACATGCTGCGATTGGTCTTGCGATGATTAATTGAAAAGTATTCAGAGGGTTTTGTATGACTTTACCGTCACCGATTAATTCATCAATAGCTTCAATAAGTGTCTTTTGAACTCTTTCGGCATATGATGATAATGATTGTGATAAAAAGGTAAATATTATTTTAGGTAAAGGGGCAAAAAATTTATCCGGACGATTCATAAATCTTTCTAGGGGAAATTTTTCTTTGAAGGCAATATCAAAATCAAAATCTTTGTGACTCTTGAAAACTTCGGGATAAAGTTCTTTGCCTACAAAGGTTATCACTTTACCAAATACATATAACGAAAAAATTTCTCCATACTCTTCACTACATTTTTTGATAAATTTTTCCGTATCTCTATAATAATCAAATGTATGCCCAATTATTGGATATTTATAGGGTATTAAAGGTGGCTCGTTTAAGTTTAATTGCTGTTTTCCACGTAATAATTTTGATGAAATAATAAAAATTATTCCAAGGATAACAAGTTGTACTATTAAATTCATCTTTATCAAGTGAAAAAAAAAAAAGGAAAAAAAAATAATAATAATCATGCCATTTACCAAAAAATTTTCATTTATATAAAAAAAAATGTGTTACGTTTAAAACGAAATCTCGAACTTTATTTTTTTTTCATTTCATTCGGTTGATGGATTATCTTGTGAAACGAAACGTGGAATATAATAGAATACCTTTTAATACCTTTTATTAGAGTTCATTTCCGAGATTTGCTATATGGCGATTTCCGAAACCCATTTAAATTGGATGTATTAATTCTAAATTCGTTGAAAATGCACTAACAAAAAAGATAATGGTCACGATAATCGTCCTCGTACTCACTGCAGTAATGAATTACCGTATATCTTCGACGTATATTAAAGCATGGTGGATTTTATCCACACACATCGTAGTAATTTTCTTTGCAACAATTTTCAATTTGGTTTATCATACTTTAAAAAAAAGTATAATGTTCTAAACTTTCAGATAAGCAAACAAAAAAAAAAAAAAAAAAAAAAAAATATTTTTTTACGTACAATATTAAAGAATATTTCTAGCTATAGCTGGAGAAGATCAACAATATTTTTTACCACTGTTCCCAGAATATCCAGAATATGGAATTCTGTTCTATTTTTACAGTGTTGTGACTGAAATTGATTTTCATCCTAAAATTGGGATTCCAATTTCAGACAACCGAAAGATCGTCTGAATTTCAACTTCAGATGAAAATCACAATATTATTAGAAATTTTTAATTAATACCTTAATTGTAGGGTTTGCAGACAAATTTGCCTGCTTATTTACTATAAATTCTTTTCGGATTTATTTATGAAAAATTAAATTTTTTTTAAAATTAATTTTATAAATATATACTGTATTACAGTGGCGGTCAAAAGTATTGCATCACCCGAACACAAATTTTAAAATTGCAATTTTTTGACAATTAAGGCGGCG